TTGTTTATTCGATTTCCGTAGCCTCGCATCTCGGGAAATGACTCTGGATGGGTCGATGTATTTAATTATTCAATAAATAAATTACAGAAACTCTTCTGCCACAGATCGCACCACGTTTTGTCAGCTAAACATGTGGGGACCAGGACACTCCCCCCCTTACCTTGAGTGATGAGAGGTGCCAGTTCGTGACTAGAGACCCACTGATGGCACCCCAAGTGATAAAAGAAGATTTCATCCTCGTAACATTTTTCCTCGTGGTAATGGATGTGAACGTTGCCCCCTGGAAGCAAAGCAGAGGAAGCATAAGGAGGGCAGGAGAAACTCAACCCGAAAACATCATTAACCTTTGCAAATTTTCTTCTTTGTACAGGTTTGATGGCTAATAACACCACTTTGTTTTTGGAGTAGTACCATAAAATCATGTATCAATGGAAAGATAATTTAATCAAGAACGTAATGCAACATAGTTTGTTCAATTATCTGTACTGTATTCTATGAAAGGTTATAGCCAAATAACCAGAAAAAGGAAGCACAACTTGCTTAGGTTGATCTCAGGTAGCTTTCCTTCATCTGATTGTAGCCAGTGAGGATGAGTGTTTAAAGAGCCAATCAGGTGTCATCTTGTTTTGGCAATGAGCCAATCAGATCACGGTAGGATCCGGTTATTGATGTCCTGTATTGAAGCTGAGAGGAGGGCATTTGTCAGTGTGTTATGTGATCGCTATCAAGTTGGTTGGGTTTTTTTTGTGTTCTTTCATTGAGTGAGCTTGTGAAACGTAATAAAATTAAAGTCATGGTGCAAAGAGTTGACTGGTCGCCCAGAAAGCGATGTAAAATAGTATTATTAAGTGAACAAGGCTACAGTTATAAAGAAATTAGAAGGAAAATGGGTGGAAACTTAACAAAAGGTGGCACTTCTACTGTACACTTTTCCCAAAAGGTTTCCACAATTTTGGCCACGACTGTACTGTGTACAACCTATGTATACAGACCTACATCCTTACATCACTTTTTTCTGTAGGTAAATCGAGGACCAATAATAACAATTTCAGGAACTCTTACTTCTCCACTTCCCGGAGCGTTTGACTAGCATGGCAGCACTCACCATAAACCACCATGTAATTGCCAATGATGGTGGCAGAGTGGAAGGCCCTTTCTCGAGGGCCCCGGTGTGAGTCTTTGGCCCGCAACGTACTCCAGTAACGCAAGTCCACGTGGAAGAGGTCGGTAGTGTTCACTCGGACGCTGAACCTGCAGTGATGGGAGAAACCGAGTCGGTCCTTCCTTTCAGAACCTCTACCAAGTGCCGCTACAGCAAAGGTCTTCCAACTTGGCAACTTTAAGACTTTGTGGACTTCAACTCCCAGAATTCCTCAGCCAGCCAGGGCTGGCTGAGGAATTTTGGGAGTTGAAGTCCACAAGTCTTAAGGTTGCCAAGTTGGAAGACCCCTGTGCTACGGTCATACCTCCGTACTCGACTGCTTCAAAACTCCTCAAATTTGGTACTTGACGCGTTTTGAAGCAAAAAAAATTCTTCCAATACTTATTGCCTAATTTGTACTCGTACCAACGGTTAATTGTGCTCACTGTTAGGAAGTTTCTCCTTAGTTCCAGGCTGCTTTTCCCCTTGAGAAAGGGACAAGTACAGATTAGGCAAAACCTGGCTCAAAAACAGGAACTGGGAGAAGGGACCTTGGAGTTGTAGCAGACATTCACTTAAACATGAGCCAGCTGTGTGTGCGGCAGCAGCAGTCTAAAAAGCTAATACAATCCTTGGTTGTATTAAACAGAGGCAGAGAATCAAAATCACGTGAAGTATTAGTACCACTTGATACAACCTTAGTAAGGCCACATCTGGAAAACTGATTGCAATTTTGGTCACATTAAAAAAGACGTTGAGACTTTGGAAAAGTGCCGAGAAGAGCCAGTAAGAGGATTAAAGGCCCAAAATATATGAACGGCTGCAAGACAAAAATATATGAACGGTTGCATGAACTGGGTATGTCCAGACTAGAGAAAAGAAGGACTAGGGGGGACATGATAGCAGCATTCCAGTATTTGAAGGGCTGCTACAAAGAGGAGGGGGTCAACGTATTTTCAAAAGCACCAAAAGGCAAGACAAGAAACAACGGACGGAAACCGATCAAGGAGAGAAGCAACCTGGAATTAAGGAGAAACTTCCTAACAGGGAGGACAATTAACTGATGGAACAGCTTGCCTTCAGAAGTTGTGGGTGCTTCAACACTGGAGACTTTTAAGAAGAAACTGGACAGCCACTCGTCTAAAATTGTATAGGGTTTCCTGCTTGAGCAGGGGGTTGGACTAGATGATCTCCAAGGTCCCTTCCAGCTCTATTCTGATTGATCTTTCTCCCAGTACTCGACGCACAAGCTAGAACTTGCTGGCGTCCGCTGCCACATGACTCGCTACTCCTTCTGGCTACTTCTCCTGGGTCCCGTAGTAAGTCACACGGTTTGCTCAGTATTCGCTACTCCTTCTGGCTACTTCTTCTGGGTCCCGTAGTAAGTCACACGGTTTGCTCAGTACTCGTCCCACGTCCCACTGTACCTTTGCTTTTTCCCCACAATACCAGTTGTCCACTTACCGAGCGGTGGAGGGCCGGTGCCCACCATAAACCAAGAGAGTACGGGAAGCAGGGTGGAAGACCATGGAATGACCGGCTGCTGCAGGCGCCTTTCCTCCTGAAGGAATCACCAACTCCCAGGTCCATCGTTTCAGATGGAAGCGGTACATGTGGGAGGAGAAGACATCCACCGAGGTGCGTCCTGCAGGGAGGGATTAGGAGGCGTGAGGCTCAATCCTCCACGATGGGGCATTTCCCCTGGAAGAGGGACACCTAGAGACCCCCTGAACCACACAGGTGGACCTTCGGCTCACCTCCAAATACGTACAGCCATTCATCTATCACCGCAGATGCGTGGCCAGCCAGCCCAGGAGGAACCTTGGTGGTATTCAGGGGCACCAGCTCCTGCCAGTAGCCCTCCTGGGGCAGATACATCCAGACATCGTTGGTTAGAAACCCAGTGGACAGCTCCCCACCAAACAGAATTAGGGAGCCCTCCCAGGCCACGGCTGTGTGGGAATGTCGAGCAGTCTGGAAATGAAAAGATGGAAAGGAGATCATTGTTTATTTTTATTTGTTTTTTTAATCCTGCCTTTATTATTTTTGAGGATAGCTCAAGGCAGCGAACATGCTTAATATACTTTCTTCCGCCTGTTTTCCCTGTGGCAACAACCCTGTGAGGTGGGGATGGGTTGTGAGGGAGAGGCTGGTTCAAAGCCAACCCAACAGGCTTTTGTGTTTAAGACAGGACTAGAACTCACAGGATCCTGGTGATTGGTCTAAAGCAGGGGTAGGCAACCTTGGCACTTTTATGACTCGTGGACTTCAACTCCCAGAATTCCTGAGCCAGCATGGGGGAATCTTTGCCCCCTTCATGACTCGTGGACTTCAATTCCCAGAATTCCTGAGCCAGCATTTCTCAGCTTGGAAACCTCTCCCTTTTCCCTCAGCATGGCTGGCTCAGGAATTCTAGGAGTTGAAGTCCACAAGTCATAAAAGAGCCAAGGTGGCCTACCCCTGGTCTAAAGTCACCCAGACAGCCAACAGGCTTTTGTATTTAAGGCAGGACTAGAACTCACAGTATCCTGGTGATTGGTCTAAAGTCAGGCAGACAGCTTTCATGCCTAAAGTGGGACTAGAACTCACAGGATCCTGCTCATTGACTCAAAATCATCCAACTGGCGTTCATGCCTGAGGCAGGACTAGAACTCACGGTCTCCTGGTGATGGGTCCAAACTCACCCAGTCGGTTTTCATGTTTAAAGCAGGGCAAGAACTCACAGGCTCCTGGTGATTGGCCCAAAGTCATCCAGCTGGCTTTTATGCCTAAAGCGAGACTAGAATTCACAAGCTCCTGGTTTCTAGACTCACACCTTCACCATTAGACCAAAATGGTACCATCACTACAACGGGGTGGGAAAAGTATGTTCTCCTCCCCCTCAAGTTCATTTTATGTACTGTAGAATCAGGAAGATACATGGTACCCTGGGGCCACAAAGTTTTGAAATTCACACACAGTGTTTTGGATGGATGCCTAAGCATCTCAGACATCACCAGGGCCCTCTCCTTTTTGTCCATAATGTAGTTTTCACAGGAAGAGAGGAAATCCAAGGCACTTACTGGGGAAGGGCTAAGCACTCTCTGATGCCAAGTGTTGGTGGTAAAGTTATAGAAGACAAGATCCCCCAGAGCAGTGTTTAAATCCAAGCCTAAAGGGAAAGAAAGCAGAAATGTCATGAGATTTAGGAACCGGAGGGAAAGCATTCAACTAAGAATAAGATTTGTGTTAGGACAAGTTCAGAGAAGCAGTGGAACAACCTGCCCCCAGAAGCTGTGAATGCTCCAACACTGGAAGTTTTTAAGAAGAGACTGGAGAGCCATTTGTCTGAAATGGTATAGGGTTTCCGGCCTGAGCAGGGGGTTGGACTAGAAAACCTCCAGGGTCCCTTCCAACTATTCTATTCTATTCTATTCTATTCTATTCTATTCTATTCTATTCTATTCTATTCTATTCTATTATTCTATTCTATTATTCTATTCTATTCTATTCTATTCTATTCTATTCTATTCTATTCTAGTCTATTATTCTATTCTATTCTATTATTCTGAAATATTCAGAATTGCACCATTCAATCCTTCCAGTTTCAGCCTTCAGCCAATCTGGAAAAGTGCTACACCAAGGCAGCAAATACAGGCAGTCCTTGATTTACAACCGTTCATTTAATGGCTCTTCAAAGTCACAATGACACTGAAGAAAACGACTTACATCCGTTTTTCACACTTAAGACCATTTGCAGTATCTCCACAGTCACGTGATCAAAATCCAGATGCTTGGCAACTGGCATGTATTTATAACAGCGTCCCGGGATCATATAATCAGGGTTTGTGACCTTCTGACAAGTAAAGTCCGTAAGGGAAGCCAGATTCCATTAACAACCATGTAACTAATTCACGGGTAGGCAACCTTGGCTCTTTTATGACTCGTGGACTTCAACTCCCAGAATTCCTGAGCCAGCCGTGCTGAGGGGAAAGGGAGAGGTTTCCAAGCTGAGCCATGCTGGCTCAGGAATTCTGGGAGTTGAAGTCCACGAGTCATGAGGGGGCCAAAGTTTCCCTCATGCTGGCTCAGGAATTCTGGGAGTTGAAGTCCACGAGTCATGAGGGGGCCAAAGTTTCCCTCATGCTGGCTCAGGAATTCTGGGAGTTGAAGTCCACGAGTCACAAAAGAGCCAAGGTTGCCTTCCCCCGAACTAATTTAACAGCTGCAGTGATTCACTTAACAGCTATGGCCAGGAAGGTCGTAAAACGAAGCAAAACTCACTCAACTGCCTTGCTCAGAAACATATATTTGGGGGGCTCTACGGTGGTCGTAAACCGAGGATTACCTGATATCGGAGGCAAAAAGACATAAGAAGGGATGGCTGACCTCCAAAAATGTAGAGTCCCCCAGTAGAAGGCAGGAAAGCACCAGCGGCCGCTGTGCGGGGCCAGAAAGTGGAATCTCGGATGCTGACGTTGTACCATTTCCCAGCTCCTTGGTTGTCGCTGAGAGCTAAATCACAGGCCTGGCCCACAAAGCCCAGTTCACACTGGCAGTGCCGGGACTCCTACGGGAGGAAGGAGAAGGAAACGTTACAGGCGTAGTGTCAAGAGTGACAACAGAATGACAACAGAAATGGGTATGCAAAATATTCAGTATAAACCTGAGACATTGTTGTTAGGAATTTTTGAAAATAATGTTAGTAAAGAAGATATGTATCTATTTACTCATGTGGTTACAGCGGCAAGAATTATATTCGCTCAAAATTGGAAAGCTGTGGCTATACCTAGTAAAGAAAGCGTAATTCACAAAATTATGTACTGCGCAGAATTAGATAGGTTAACGAAAACACTTAAAAAACAGGATGAAATTTTACAGATGGTGGGGGGGAAAATATGGAAGTTATTGTAATGAGATAAGTTAAGATTGTGATTAGAGTGATGTTATTGTATAGGGTTTTCTCACTAGTAATTAATGGTGAATAGTGAATTGAGATGTATGTCAAATCTGATTTATCATGTTCAATGTTTTTTAATTTTTGTTTTCAATAAAATTTATTTTAAAAAAAAAAAGAGTGACAACTTGGCAGCTACGTACCTTTTTGTTTTCATCTTTGTCATTAGAGTGAGGAAGGGGGGGGGGAGATGGGGCTTTGAATGGGATAGTTAGAGCAGGGGTCTTCAAACTTGGCCCTCTTATGACTTGTGGACTTCAACTCCCAGAATTCCTGAGCCAGCCACACTGAGGGGAAAGGGAGAGGTTTCTATGCTGAGCCATGCTGGCTCAGGAATTCTGGGAGTTGAAGTCCACGAGTCATAAAAGGGCCAAGTTTGAAGACCCGTCTTAACTCTAACAAACAAAATGGAGGCTGGCTGAGGAATTCTGGGAGTTGAACTCCACAAGTCATAAAAGGGCCAAGTTTGAAGACCTCTGTCTTAACTCTAAGAAACAAAATGGAGGCTGGCTGAGGAATTCTGGGAGTTGAACTCCACAAGTCATAAAAGGGCCAAGTTTGAAGACCCGTCTTAACTCTTAACAAACAAAATGGAAGCTGGCTGAGGAATTCTGGGAGTTGAAGTCCACAAGTCATAAAAGGGCCAAGTTTGAAGACCCGTCTTAACTCTTAACAAATAAAATGGAGGCTGGCTGAGGAATTCTGGGAGTTGAAGTCCACAAGTCATAAAAGGGCCAAATTTGAAGACCCGTCTTAACTCTAACAAACAAAATGGAGGCTGGCTGAGGAATTCTGGGAATTGAAGTCCACAAGTCATAAAAGGGCCAAGTTTGAAGACCCCTGAGTTAAGAGAAATGAAACCTTTCCCATTCTGCAGATGTTTGCTGAGAAAGGATGTATAATAACTTTCCAAGGACATTCTAACTGGTGTGAAGAAGAGAACAGACGGTTCTCAAAACAACGAGAAGGTGTTTACGTGAACTACGTGGACATCTGGGAGGTTTGGCTGGGGATGTCGTTGTTATATGCTTTGGTTAGATGTCTTCAGATTTTGGAGTTAAGTTTTCCTTCGCCCGAAGCATGTCATGTACTCAATAAACCAGTAAGATTTTCAGAAATGAAAGAAATCCTGGATTTTATGTAAACATATAATCTGTCACCTAGATTATATGTTTATAACATTGTAGAATTCACACCTCATATTTTATATTTTTGCCCTTTTGTGTTTTTATCGAAATGGGATGCGAACGTGCCACAGAATAAATATAAACGACCGATGGAGGCACAAAGGCACCATCTCTTACCTGGTTACAAGCGCCATGATTCTGGCAATACGTGACGCAGTCGGGCACCGAGCAGTCTTTGCCACCCCAGCCTTGGAAACAAGCACAACGCCCGTCGTTATCACAGACGCCATGTCCAGAGCAGCCCATGGGACACAGCGAGACAGAGTAAGTGGCATTGAAGCCCAGCAGGTTGTAATTGGCATCACTGAAGAGGTGTAACAGCATCTACAAAGGAGGAAGGGATGCGTACTGAATTTTGGCCACTACTGTACATGGGGAAAAGAATAGTAATAATAGTAATAATAGTAATAATAGTAATAGTAGTAGTAGTAGTAGTAGTAGTAGTAGTAGTAGTAGTAGTAGTAGTAGTAATAATAATAATAATAATAATAATAATAATAATAATAATAATAATAATAATAAAGTTGGAAGGAACCTTGGAGGTCATCTAGTCCAACCCCTTGCTCAGGCAGGAAACCCTATACCATTTCGGACAAATGGCTGTCCAGTTTCTTCTTAAAAACTTCCAGTGTTGGTGCATTCACCGCGTCTGGAGGCAGGTTGTTCCACTGGTTAATTGTTCTGTCAGGAAGTTTCTCCTTAGTTCTAGGTTGCTTCTCTCTTTGGTTAGTTTCCACCCGTTGCTTCTTGTCCTGCCTTCAGGCGCTTTGGAGAATAGCTTGACTCCCTCTTCTTTGTGGCAGCCCCTGAGATACTGGAACACTGCTATCATGTCCCCCCTCGTCCTTCTCTTCGTTAAACTAGACATACCCAATTCCAGCAACCGTTCCTTATATGTTTTAGCCTCCAGTCCCCTAATCATCTTTGTTGCTCTTCTCTGCACTCTTTCTAGAGTCTCAGCATCTTTTTTACATCGTGGTGACCAAAACTGGATGCAGTATTCCAAGTGTGGCCTTACTAAGGCCTTGTAAAGTGGTATTAACACTTCAGGTGATCTTGATTCTATCCCTCTGTTAATGCAGCCTAGCACTGTGTTGGCTTTTTTGGCAGCTGCAGCACACGGCTGGCTCATATTCAAATGATTGTCCACTAGGACTCCGAGATCCCTCTCACAGTTACTACTATTGAGCAAGGTACCCCCTATACTATACCTGTACATTTGGTTTTTCTTGCCTAAATGTAGAACTTTACTAACCTAAATGTAGAACAGAGCCGTTCATTTCCAAGCATGGAAGATGCAATTTACTGAACCTTGAAGAAAAAAAATATCCCGCCATGGGGCTACCGTACCTTGCCCGAGGTGGCCTCAATAATAGGAGGCAAGGTGCTGCCACTGAGGCTGGCCAGCAAAGGGCTGCTGGGAGAATCTCCGTCGTAAACGAAGAGGTAGTCATACGTGCATTCCGTGTCCATAAACATGAAGGTCAAAAGGATGCGGTAGCTGCTGCTAGGAGCTGGAACATACAGAAAAGCTTAGCAGTCAGATCCCAAGATCAACAGCGTGCAGTGCCGTCCATCTTAAGAAAGCTAACTACAACTGTTCATTTACAACTTACAACTGTTCATTTAGTGACCGAAGTCACAACACCACTGAGAAAAATGACTTTTATGACCATTTTTCACACTTAGGACCGTTGCAGCATCCCCCAGGGTCATAAATCACTTTTTTCAATGCTCGGTCACTAAAACTATTGTAAGTCAATAGACAACCCATCTATTTTTACTATCCTCAAGAAAGCGCTTATTGTCTTAATAAAAAGCAACGTATCATTGGCATTGCCATAGCAGTTTTAATAAGTATACTGGAACGCAAGAACTTCAAAGTCCCAACCAGCACTCGTTCCTTCTATATTTCTATCTTGTTAACACATTCCTATTCCTCCCGAAATGGGTTTTCCTCACACATACAGGCTCCCAAACTCAATCGGTGAGGAATTAGAGCAGTGTTTCTAATTCAGTCTTTCTCAACATTGATAACTTTAAGATGTGTGGACTCCCCAAATTCCCGAACTGGATTTCACATTTAGGTCAAGAGACTTTGACAGATATTTCCTATAGCAGAGGTCCCCAACCTTTTGGGCACCAGGGACCGCTTCCGTGGAGAGAGGTTTTTCCACGGACCGGAGGGTGCGTGGTTTTGTGTGCTGCCTGCATCCCACAGATGGGGCTTTGCTTGTTTGTGTGGACCAGTTGCTGGCATGCCACGGCCCAATACTGGTCCATGGACCGGGGGTTGGGGACCCCTGTCCTAGAGAATGAAATGCCTTGGTTTGGAGCCTTCACCTCTAAGCCATCATGGCCCACCATATTTCTTCAAATGCTCACCCTCCACCAGCCATTCACAGTTGCCATTGACGGAGTAGTTGCCAGGTCCATCCGTCACATAGCCAGAAGCGCTGTGCAGCACCTCACGGCGTCCTTTACAGTCCCCAGCATCGGTTTGATGGATCCCGCACAGGGCGAGGGGCAGCAGAACCAGCAGCTTTAAGCAATTGGGCTTTAGGAGGTCCATGATGAACTTTGGATCTCCCTGTAATCAAAGAGGAGGCTCAGTTAATATAACCTATAACGAATGGCGTCCAGCCATTGTTGAGGAAGAAATACAGAAAAGTTACTCAAAGAAAGAAGCAACCTAGAATTAAGGAGAAACTTCCTGACAGTGAGGACAATCAACCAGTGGAACAGCTTGCTTCCAGAAATCATGGACGCTCCATCACTGGAGATTTTTAAGAAGAGGCTGGACAGTCACTTGTCTGAGATGGCATAGGTTCTCCAGCTTAAGCAGGGGGGCTGGACTAGAAGACCTCCAATGTCCCTTCCAGCTCTATTCTATATGTAAACCCTGCATTCCTATACCAGATAAATATTATTATTATGGTTCATTATAATAAAAGCCACCTTTTGTGGCCTTCTCAAGACCTCGGATAAGCAGATGTGTTAAAGTATTATTTTTTTCTCCTGCATTCATTACTTTAAAAGTAACTCAACATGGTGAAAATACATAATAGTCCTTCCCACTTCTCTTTTTCCCCACAAAAACCCTGTGAGGTGGGTTAGCCTGGGATAGAGAAGGACTGGCTCAAAGTCACTCAGCCTGTTTTCATATATGCCTTGCTATTAGATCTGCCAATCTATTCTCTTTAGATACCACTCAATTCTAGAATAGTTGAGAAGACTAAATGTACAAGATATTTATTTTCCATTTTGAGTTTTGGTTCTTTTCCTTTTTACCACTGTCGGTGTTCTAAAATTTTGCTAGGTAGCAATTAGGAAAGAAATTAACATAAAACGGACAAGGCATTTATTTTCCTAATACAGCTGCACTGAGGAAAAGGAAAGCCATAAGAATGAGAAATGAGCAAATGTACCATTTAAAAAAAAAAAAAAAACCAACCCTGTTAATTAAACAAAATTATTCATTCTTTTCCCAGCCCATTTACACCAAAGAATTTAAAGACAATTCTGCAATGGTAACACCAGCTCTCAATGGACCCCGGTTGACAACGAAACGTAACATGAAAACGAAGACATTTTAATAGCCTTTTAATTACAACCTGCTCCCATGCTGCTGTTTTCAGGGGTGCCTGCTAGACAGACCCCATCTTTAAAAAAAAAAAGCCACACGTGTCAGTTTCAACAGAGTCCTGGAAAGTCTGTACTTCTCCTGCCTTCGTGCATGTCCTTCCAATGATTTAAATGCAATTCTCTCTCTTGGATCGAAGGTCAGGGTGGCACAGGGGCTGGATCAGAACTGAGTGCGAATCCTCCCCTGGTTGACTTTGAGCCCGTCCCTCCCTCTTTCATTCTCAGCCCAGCCTACCTTGCAGGGGTGTTGTTGGGGGGGGAGAAGGAAGCATTATTTGGGCTGCCTCAAGCTTTTGAAATAAAGGCAGGCTATGCATCTCAGAGTCAAATATATGGGGTGGGGGAGAACAAAACCAACATTAACCCAAAGGCAGGAAGAAACCAGCAAAGGCACAACTCCGGGGGGGGGGGAAGGGGGACTGGACTAGATGACCTACAAGGTCCCTTCCAACTCTTGTTATTCTATTCTATTCTGCACTCTGGACCCCAAGAAGGGGGACCCTCCATTGAGGCCGGGGAGGGGGGGAAACCCATACATCTTCAGGGGATCCAGGCAGGATCAGACGGACCGAAGGGAAAGCAGGGACCAGCAAGGGAGCCCCAGCAAGCCATGCAGCCAGACCCGCATCTCCAGGGAAGCGCGACGGCTGTGCGGAGAAAGAGCCCACCCGGAGGACCGCGGGCCCGGCTCCCCGTTCATAATCCCGGCTCGCAATGGGGACTAATGGGGGGAGGGGGCTAAAGGGGGGCCCCCACCCACCGCTCGACCCACCTCCGCAGCTGCCCGCGGCTCCGCGGCCCCCGCGGCCCATGTAGAGGCCAGTCCGGGACCCAGGGGGGCATCGAGACGAGGGCGCAGAGCGGTTGCGAGTGAAGCACGGAGGTCACCCAATCTCTATGGCAAAGGAAGCCATAGAGATGGTAGGGCTAGAGCGTTCGAGGAGGAGGAGGAACGGATAGGGGTAGGCAACCTTGGCTCTTTTATGACTCGTGGACTTCAACTCCCAGAATTCCTGAGCCAGCATGGCTCAGCTTGGAAACCTCTCCCTTTCCCCTCAGCATGGCTGGCTCAGGAATTCTGGGAGTTGAAGTCCACGACTCATAAAAGAGCCAAGGTTGCCTACCCCTGGATCATCATAGGCTTTATTTACATAGCCGGGTTTCTCAAGCTTGGCAACTTGAAGACGGATGGACTTCAACTCCCAGAATTCCCCAGCCAGCTAATGTGTACAATTTTTATTGTCCAGTTGGTTATTTCTATCTTCCTCTTTTACGTTTCTCACCCATGGGGGAAAAAAAACATTGCATTTTCTTTTGCCAACTCAAATAATGCGTTGACCAGGGGATAAAGTTGTCTCTTTGTGTTGGATAGCAGCAGCTTTCCAAAGGACCAGTTATTACCAGCTCTTTCAGGTGAAGGTAAAAAAAAGAGCTGAAGCCAAGGCTTTCCCCTTTTTAAATGTGTTTAGTTCTGCTCCAATGTGTTCTCTGCCTATTTTTATTTTTATCCCTTTATTTTTTATAAGTAACACAGCAAATATATCTAATACTTCTTTATTCTGTTCTTCCCCACAACAACAATCCTTTGAGGTGGGCTATTCCAACATTCAGTGCAGGACTAAAAGCTTGATAACAATTGGAATCAATTCAAATAGGGGGAAGGATAAAGGTAGTCCTTGACTTACAATCGTTTGTTTAGTGGCCATTCGAAGTTACAATGGCGCTGAAAAAAGTGACTTATGACTGCTTTTCATACTTACGACCGTTGCAACATCCCCATGGTCACATGATCAAAATTCAGGAGCTTGACAACCGGGCATGTATTTATGATGGTTGCGGCGTCCCAGGGTCACGTGATCCCCTTTTGTGACTTTGTGATAAGCAAAGACAATGAGATTCACTTAAAAATGCATTACTAACTTAATTGCAGTGATTCACTTAACAACTGTGGCGAAAGGTCGTAAAATGGTACAAAACTCACTTAACGGTCTAGCGTAGTAATGGAAATTTTGGTCCCAGCTGTGGAGATCGTGACTAACCATATTAGGTATGTGTGCTGCCTCGAGTTACTTATAAAACAAAATAAAGGCAGATTAAAAAATAAATATTTTTTTAAAAAAATTGGTCAGGGAAACATCTTCATCATTTAAAAGGTTCATTTGGAAAGAACTCAAATTATGGGAGATGAAGGAGAAACGTGTAAAGAATTTTTTTCCAAATGCAGAATCCCAGCTAAGATTTAGGTTCCTTGTTAAAGATGCTCGGAGCTTCTGCCACTAAGCCGTGTGAACGTGATCTGCTGATGTGTTTGGCATTCTGCTATTTTTTTCTAGACCACGCTGCAAAATTGTAAAGGTTTCACCAGTGATTATAGGGTAACTGAGCTACTTAAAACTAAAGCTCAGCTACCGATGAGAGAATTGCCTGTTCTTACCAATTAATGCTACAGTAATCAGGTGGGATTTTGCAAAGCTGGAATCAGACACCTCTGAATCAGTGGTGGATTTCAAATAGGTCAACAACTGTGTGGATGCCGCTTCCAGAAGTCCATTCTGGGCTTGGGCAACAAAAAATTAGCTACCGGTTCTGCTGAAGTGGGGCGAACCGGCTGAATCCCACCACTGCTCTGAATAGTGGTATTTTGTGGCTGACTGGGGGAAACCTTTTAATCATAGCATGAGTGTAATCTATATACCCCAGTAGAGGCACCACAGAATGGACATTAGTGGAAAAAATTTACTGTGCAGAGTTCTGGGAAAAAAAAAAAGAGGAACATTGTTGAGATACTAATTTTCCCGTGGTTACTGACAGAAAAAGAACCCAAGGATATTGGTTTCATAAGCTCTGCAGAAACATGAAAATCAACATGATCCCTTCTCTGCAGTACCATAAATAAAGTTGCTGTTAAAGCAGAATTTCTCAAGCGTGGGCATTTTGAGATATATGGACTTCAATTCCCAGAATTCTCCAGCCAGCCTGCTAGTGAACTTTAAGATAGGTGGACTTCAATCCCCAGAATTGTCTAGCTAGCCAAACATGGCTGACTAGAGAATCCTGGGAATTGAAGTCCACATGTCTTAAAGTGGCCAAGTTGGAAAGCATTGTATGAAAGCAGGGTCCTCAACCTTGGCAACTTTAAGACTTGTGGACTTCAACTCCCAGAATTCCTCAGCCAGCAAAGCAAAGCTGGCTGAGGAATTCTGGGAGTTGAAGTCCACAAGTCTTAAAGTTGCCAAGGTTNCTCCATCACTGGAGATTTTTAAGAAGAGGCTGGACAGTCACTTGTCTGAGATGGCATAGGTTCTCCAGCTTAAGCAGGGGGGCTGGACTAGAAGACCTCCAATGTCCCTTCCAGCTCTATTCTATATGTAAACCCTGCATTCCTATACCAGATAAATATTATTATTATGGTTCATTATAATAAAAGCCACCTTTTGTGGTCCTCTCAAGACCTGGGATAAGCAGATGTGTTAAAGTATTATTTTTTTCTCCTGCATTCATTACTTTAAAAGTAACTCAACGTGGTGAAAATACATAATAGTCCTTCCCACTTCTCTTTTTCCCCACAAAAACCCTGTGAAGTGGGTTAGCCTGGGATAGAGAAGGACTGGCTCAAAGTCACTCAGCCTGTTTTCATATATGCCTTGCTATTAGATCTGCCAATCTATTCTCTTTAGATACCACTCAATTCTAGAATAGTTGAGAAGACTAAATGCACAAGATATTTATTTTCCATTTTGAGTTTTGGTTCTTTTCCTTTTTACCACTGTTGGTGTTCTAAAATTTTGCTAGGTAGCAATTAGGAAAGAAATTAACATAAAACGGACAAGGCATTTATTTTCCTA